TCGATGTTAGAGAGCTGTAAGACATAAACAAAATTTACACATATTTTTTACTGCTACACGCAAATTTATTTTGTTTCATTTTATTTTTTTTTAACCGAGTTCACCCCAAGCAAGGCAGTAAATGCAGTGAGACACACGGGGGTTAGTGGGTGTGGAAGAGTTACAAACAGGAAGACTTGCTAGAGAGGGAGCAAAAATAGAGCAAGAGTAATCTGGACAATAGATAGCGATTGCCATTGCATTAAAATTTTTGAAGATTAGTTGACTGGAATGCATGGAGCCGGAAGAGAGTTCCGCAAGCGAGAAGTGCGAGAAAAGAAGCATGTTAGCATAGAATTTACGGTTACAGCTTAAATTTAAATTGGTGAGACCTCGCCGCCAGTCTAGTAGTGTGCTTAAATTTGAAGAGTCGAAGCATCATAGCGAAGAATTTCCATGAAAGTATTTATAGAAAAAGTAAAGGGAGGCAACGTTACGGCGGTAGGCAAATGACTGAAGCCGAGACGCCAGATCGAGGCCAATAATATTGCTGATTCTTCTGTGGATTTTATTAATGAGATCTAGATACATAGGACTATATGTGGCAGCAATATTCTAAGGGTGGATGAATGGTAGACATGAAAGATTGAATCTGGAGAGAAAAATGGTCTAGCACAACAACTCAGTCTAAATAAATAACAACTGCAAATTCACTAATAACAATTGTTCCTAATTCTTTTACACCCAGTAACCTCTTGTCTCTTGTGGCTTTTCTACCTTGCATGGACTGAAACAATTAAAAAATATCTGATAAATAAATTCAACCACCCATTTGATCTAAAAAAATGTCACATTTATTAAAAGCGAAAGTAACTTACTTAGAAGGAAAATCCTCGAGAATGCCGCTATAGAATTTAATCAAAATATAAATCTGCGCTCAAATATTTCCATTCCTGAAAGAATTCCTCTTTTTCCCAAAACAACATGCATGACTATAAAAAAATGTTAAAAAGGACTGAAAAAAAAAAAACGAATCGTAATCTTAACAATATAAGGTACGCAGATGACGTGTTGATGGCTGATTTGGACAGGAAACTACAGGACATCTTAGACAGGATAGAAAAGGAATGCGAGAAGAAAGGACTAACTATTAACTGTAAGAAGAGAGAAAGAGAAAAAGCCCAAGGTGCGAGTTACAAATAGGAGATAGCAACTTGAAGCAAGTAGAAAAGTGTAAATATCTAGGAAGTCTTTTTTAACAGAGGATGGAAAATGGAAGTGTAAAGAAAAAGAAAAAAAAATCATTAGAAACAAAGAAAAGAGTGCTGGATTGCTATGTGATATACATCCTATTATATGGCAGTGAATGCTAGACAATCTCCCCACGGATGAGGAGAAAACTAGAGGCAGCAGAAATATGGTTCTGCAGAAAGATACTGACAATTCTATGGATGGAGCGAATGAGTCTTAAAGAAAATGCTAACAGAAGAACACTTATGCCCAGAATCAGGAAGAGAAATCACTTGGACACATAACGAGGAAGGAGGGTTTGGAAAACTTAACTCTCACAGGGCCATATAGAGGTCAAGAGTGATAAGGGAAGGCAACAAGCCAGATATTGTCGGGCTTGTATGAATAGACGGCGAAAATGGGGGTGGGAGATTTATCAAAGAGATAAAAACTGCTAAGGGACACAAGGATAGGAAATTGTGGGGAGCCGTGATCGCCCATGTCCTGAAGGGACGCGGCACAATAAGGACAATTATGCTTTCATCAGAAGACAACATTGTTGTAGAGTAGTTTTCACAGTGGAGGCTTGTATTTCAATAAGTCGTCCTAAATTAGGTTCGACGTACAAAACGTTAGGAACTTGAAATAAAAGTCCGACATCGACTGACTCACTCAACACCACTGAGCCCAACTGGCGACCGCTACTACTACTACTACTTATTATATGTGGGAGAGTCTATTAATAATAGAATAGGTACGTTCAGGTATAACAAACACACAGCTAGATAATTTGATTACATCTGCAATCTCAATCGCTATCTGTTGTCCTGCTGATTGCTTTTTCCTCTTCCTGCTCATTATTAATATTTCTGTTCCTAATTCTTTCCCATCCAGTAACCCCTTGTGTCTTAGTGGCTTTTCTGCCTTGCATGGACTGAAACTGATTAAAAAAATACATGATAACTTAAATAAATTCAACCGAAACTTTGATCTAAATAATACAAGATTCATTAAAAGTGAAAGTAACTTACTTAGAAGGAAAATCCTCGAGAATGCCGCTATAGAATTTAATCGAAATATAAATCTGCTCTCAAATATTTCCATTCCTGAAAGAATTACTCTTTTCCCAAAACAACATGGATGACTATAAAAAAATGTTAAAAAGAGCTGAAAGAAAACGATTAAATTTACAACTTCATGTTATTTAAAATATATAGCGCATAAATTAATCCTGAAATAAAATAATTTAAATACTAATTTGCATTAAAAAAAAAAAAAGAACATCGTTTACTGGACATTGAATTGTGTCACTCGGCATCCTCCATAGCTTGCCTAGACTTTTCGGCTAACCCGATGAATATTTAAGCGTTCTTAAAGTTAAAAAATTCGAAAAACTAATATCAATTTTGTTCTTGTACATAAATATACTTGTTACAATAAAATAATAATCTTACATTTGTTTTGATAAAGTCCCTCAGAGGACGAAACGCTAAGTTTTCCTTTGTCTTTATAATTTAATTATGCCTTTATGAAATGACAACACACTCTGATCACAATATTGTATTATAATAATCGAATCTATATTAGAAAAGCGGATTCTCTGTCCGTCACACACTGTCTGTGTGTGACTTTGCACACGCGTATGTAATATGCATGCACATATCTGTGTTATGCGTGAGTGACCTATAGTGATTTATTAAGCGTAGCTTAGATGTGGCACAAGGCTTAAACTATGGAGCACCCAGTGAGGATCGAACTCACTACTCTATTGATCTAGATTGTTAAGCATTGCCCCACGTGGGAATGTCCAAAAGTGAATTGCTAAGCGTATTTTAG